ATTCTTCAGCAGAAATGCCATTTCTATCTCTGTGCTCTACCTCGGGTTTAACTTGCTATTTGGAACCCTTACTCAAAATGCATGTATCTGGTATTTTGATTATGAATTGTCACATAAACAGAGTGATTGATTAAAGTAATTTACATAGAAGCATTCGTGGTGTTTCCGAGCAAGGGAAAATACACAGAAGCACATGGCACTTAATTACATTGCTTAACAATAAATGTCAAGTTAAATCTTTTTTAAAAAAGATGAATGCTATACTTAAGGAAAGTGCAATTACATTTCTCTGGTTTGAAATGTTTTACACACTGTATATATTAGAGAGGCAAAGATATTAACACTTTTGTACATGCAAAGGTGCTGACAGATTTCAGATGCTAGGAGGCATGCTTTTGAAAATGCTGTCCGCTTATTGCTTGCAAAGGGAACTCGTTTACTGTAATGTGCTGTTAATCTGAGCTCATTTACTTGTATGTAACCGCGTTTGAATAGAGACACACTTCTCAGAACTGATGGAGAACATGAGGACTAGTGGTCTTGATCTGGTAAATTGTTGCATATAAATAGGATTTGCATTCAAATTAGTGTTTTATATCACAGCCTGATTATACATCCCATTTTAATAGTGTTGAATGAATGGCAGTAGTAGATTTCAGAAAGCCACTCCTCTGATTATATGTTCCAATTAAAAATTTAATTAAAAATGTCTTTCCCCCCTTTTTTAATCCTTTGCTGAAATTTAGTAACAGACCTGGAATTTCCTCTCCTGTTAAATAATGTGTACACTTCTATAACCAAATCGTTATACCTTCCAATTCAATAATTTGTTTAATAAAAGTCTGTCATACTGCTTCTGTATTCCTGTGGGAGGGTAATGGAGAAGCAACTAAAATCCCCAGTGTTCATCATCTACTTCTTGCAGAATAGAAGAGAATAAGAGGAAGTCTACAGAGGGAGAAATGGGGTTGAGGTACAGAGTTCCTCAGCTACAGTGAGCAAATCTGTATGTCTCGAAGGATACTGCTCAATACTGGGCAAAAACACTAGCTCAGTTCTTCTCTGCAATTATAGCTATGTCATTGTGGTGCAGCCCTCCATTCTCATGCTGAATTACAAATCAAAAAGAAGGAAATAATATTGTCAGGATAACTATTTGATTATTGTCCACAATAAAAAGGTTTTGGTGAGGAGTGGTTCTCCAAGCTAGTTTGCCATCTGACTTCCACCAGTTCAGCGCCACAGTAGTGGCACAGCTCAGGGGCATATGGAGGGCAGTTCTCACATAGATGCAACACTTGTGCACCTCGACGTCTTCACTGGTGTGACAAAAGCCTGTCTTCCTCCTGGTCTGCACAGCAGCAGCACATCCTCTCCATTGCTGCTGGGATGGTGTAGCTTCTCCATTTTTCTGTGCCCAGATTTATAAGTGTTACAATGGAGCATAATTCATTTGATGAGGACAGTTCATTTCTTCTTTTTTTAATCCATGAATTTAAAGAAAATATATGAAATTAGATGGATTTGGTGCCATAAATTAAGTGAAGCGTTATAATTTAATTGCACTATGTGTTAACAGAGTATTTTTCCTGTTGCCTAGCAATGAGATTTACCATGAGATTCAACATGTGCTTAAGATTCCATTATTAACTTCTGTTTTCAGAGGTTTATAACTTTAATAAAAATCATTACTCATAGGACAATCCAGAAAGTGTATGTTGGAGGTTCTTTCTGTTGTTACAGGGTCACTTACTAAGGAAGCTTGGGGCAGAAAGCTCTGGTGCCCTCTGATTTCTGTACCCATTCTCCCATTCTCCTGTATGTGGTAAATATTGAAAGTAACCTCTTGAGCAACAATTGTTTTGTGTGTTTTTGAAGCAGTAAGCTATTTATAAAAGCATTCTTTTACTTTAAAGATTCTACATGGAGACATTTTTACTAAGGCAGCTACCTCTCCTTAGAAGAGCAGCAGCTGCTTTGTGCTTCCTCACTAAAATGAATGCCTAGGATACAGTCTGAGCACTGGTATTTGAGGTCTCCTCCGTCAGCATTCCACATAGTAGTGGAATAGGTCTGGATGTTTTCTTTGTGGAACTGTAATACTTACTAGGTAGGAGGATCGCATGGAGCTTGATGAAGGAGGCGAGTGCTTGAAAAGTCTGGAGGAGCAAAAGTTATAGGACAGGCCCAGAAATTCGCCTTGTTCCACAAGAGGAGCTAGCTTAAAGTTAGGGCCAGCAGGTATATGCAAAGCCTGACAGCTTTTAGCTATGGGGGAAAAAAAAGTGTATTTGTTTTTATTCCAGTTATCTCTGATAAGGGTGGGATTTGGATTGTCATGTAGTTCGGATGCCATGAGGCAGTGCTGTACTTAAAAGGGCTTGAATTTGAGCTCATGGAGAAAAGGGCTGAAAACTACTTAATATGCAAGTTTTTTCAAGAACCAAGTGTTTTTGGCAGACAGCAAGACAAGTGACTGGAAACTGTGTCAGAATGATAGTAGTGCTATGCCACTCATAGATGTGTTTCCAGACTGCATGGTGTTGTAAGGCAGAAAGCAAAAAAACAGTTTATCCATAGTTTCTGTAGAAGTAGTTAAGGAAGGACGATATGATTAATGGACTTGTAAATTTGGACTTAACAAAAGATGCCAGGATCAGCCTTTATGAAAACATAGGGGAAAAAAGCTATTTTGAGTTAATCCTTTTCAAAAGGTAAAACTCTTTATACCATAGCATTTTAAAATGGTTGTGATTATTATGGAAAATTTGGTTTTGCATATTGAGATTTATGCACTTAACTGTTTATAGAAGATCTGTGTGTTTAGTTGTGAATCTTTAAGGAACTTATGTTCTAAACTACTGCTACATTTTAACATCTATATAATATCAATTTGTCACCTTTATAATCGGTTAATTTTTAATTAAGAAACATAGAAATTTAAAGTTCATGCCTTGAAGTGAGCAAAGTAATTTTCACTGGAGAAGGAGGCATTCATCAGCACTGGCATTTATCTTGCTTTATAAGTAAGCAAGATTAGTTAAGAAAAACAAAAGCCAGATGGTTTTTTAGATAAGCATGGAGTAGAGAAGCCAGTTTATGTTTCAGTACATACATTTTTGCACATATATGTAATTGTTCTTTTGGGTTATATAGTCTCAATATGATTATGAATGCTATTTACTTTTAGAAATCTGCTAGATATATGTCATTTTTGTTGACAAAATACAGGTATTATAAAATAATACAGGTACTACAGATAATATAGATCAATATTAAATGTGAAAAAGTGCAGTGTTTGCTGTGCTTAACATAAGTAACATTTCCTGTTTAACTAGGCTGTCTTAGGCACCATTTAGTGTTCCTGCAGCCTTTGTATAGAAAATGAGGAAAGGGTGGTGTACCTGAGAGTCCCTAATTTAGACATCTAAAGTTAGAATTTGCAGCTAACCCATCCCCCTTCTCCCATAAGTGCTCTGAAATTTTCCACCTTCATCAGTCTGCCTTGAATTACTCAATTTCTCACTGGAGTGCTGCATGGGATTAGTGGTCTGGATTTCACATCGCTTGTGCTTCCCCAGATCATCATCTGTACAAGAACTGAATGAAAATGAATGAGTGTTCCCCTGGCAGGGTCTAACACTCCAGAAAAATAACTGGCAAGATGTCAACTGTTTTTGCTGTTAAACTGACACTGAGGGAATGTGTAAAATAAAAGAGAAAGTAACATCCTGCTTGTTTGGCATTTTTCTGTATTAAAGCAGATCATATTGTTATATATGTTTTATGAATCAGAAACTTACCATATAATTGCATTGTGTCTGTGTGGAGAGAAAAGTGAGGGGGAGGCATTTTTTTTTTTTTTTTTAACATGGTTATGATTTCTAAAGCTTCTGTACTATAGAGACAGAAGACCTTACATGTTACTGCTGGCTAGTAAGAGTGCACTGGTACTAACCTGCGCCATGTTGAAGTGAGGACCTCCCAAAGCTTAGTTAAAATTATTGGGAATTGTTTAGGTGAAATATAGCTTGGCTTTACATTAAATACAGTAGGCCTAGGACCATTTCTGTTCTCATGAAGAGAACATTTGTTTCAGTACACAGTGCTGTAGAGAGAGTTAATTGGCTCTCCTGGAAATCTGTCCTGGTAAAGAACACAGCATTCTCATATTTGAGCCCAATATCTTTAATGGTCACTCTTGTTTGATGCCTAGCAACCAGTAAACTTCTTTTATTGGGTGATGTATTATGTTGTCCTGGGTTTGAGTGAGTTGTGGGGTTTGTACCTTCTCATCAGTGGGAGGGGAGGGAGGAGTGAGCGGCTGCGTGGTGCTCAGTTGCCCTCTGAGCTCAAACCACAACATATGTACAGTCTAAGTTTGTATTATTATACCTGGTGATTTTAATTTGATAAATTGGTTGTGGTTTTTTTTTTCTTTTCCCTCCAAACAGCTCTTTTTCCTAGAAAAAATTCAATACTAATAGCTCTAACTTTGCAACAGCAAATGCGAAAAAAAAAAAATACTGAAGATGTATATGTAGTTTCAAAGAAGTGATAAGAAGCAGGCAAAATTGCTTTTCAATTAATTGAAACAATTTCTAAGCTGTATTTGTTGCACAAAATCTGGAATTTTAGCCTGAATTTTACATAACATTTGATTCTGACCTGTGATTAAGCAGCTGCAAAGTAAAAGTCTTAAATTAGGTTGTTGCTACTTTTTTGGGGGGAAGAATTCAATAAGGAATATGCTCATAAAGTTAATAATAAAGTTACACTCATAGTTTTGAGTGATCAGTAAAGATTGAATCTCTTAGAAAAATAATGTCCTGATCCTGTACTGAAGGTGTGACTGAAAGAGCATCTCAGTATCATTCTTTTGAGGTGTCTTTGGTTCACTTGTTTTACATTATAGGAAACAAAGACTGCAATAAAACACAGGGTGCCTTAAATAAAAGCACTTCAAACCTCCAACATACATTTGTATTGTTGTCTTCTAGGTTGACTGGGGTCAGCTGGACTATTTAGTAATTGACATGCCACCTGGGACTGGAGATGTACAGCTGTCAGTGTCACAGAATATTCCAATTGCAGGTATGTGTACTGCTTGACTGTTTCAGAGTTTTTAAGTTAGTTAAGCCTGGTAGCTTTAGAAAAAAATTATTTTAAAATGCCAGTTAAAAATTCTTTTAATTGTCTTTCTAATCCACTAAGAAACTGTTCTGTCAGTGATGTGGTGATGAAAAACACTATCAGTGATTTTTAACACATTAGCATTGTGATTGTGTTACTTTCTTTTAAGCTAAGTTTCAAAAAGATTGAGAAGTCAAGTATAGCAGTGCTCTTGAAGGAAAGGCAGTCATGCCAAAAACTGGTAAGGTTAATAGTAGAAAATATTTTCTTTGTCTGTACCTAGTGCGTAGTAAAGCTAATACAATAAAATAGTTTGTCTTCATGATTGCTTTCTGATTAGAAGCTGACAATGCTGCTAATGCACAACATTTATTCAGATAAACTATGCACTGCAATGCACTAACACATTATTTTCCTTTCATGTTACGAATCTGATATTTTGTCGGGGGTTTAAACTTAGACAAATCAATCTTGAGATATGGAGGCTGCCCTTTAATCTCATTGGTTCCAGCAGGCATTAGAAACACTGCTTCTGACAGAATGCTGAGCATCTCACGAGATCTGATAGACTGTAATGGTTTATTACCTGTCTGATATACTTCAACAGAAGCAGTTGTCAATAGCCGACATAGTCAGTTAGGAACTCTGTGGTAAAAGAGACAAAGCAATTCTTACAGTTCCAGGAATAATTTAATAATTGCTGTGGCTCTCCACCAGGAGGGTAGTGCAATGCTGGAACATGTTACCCAAGGAGCCCGTGGGATGTCCATCCTTGGCAGATGTCCAGACTGTACTAGACAAAGCCCTAGCTGGCCCTATCTGCTGTTGCTGGTAGATGACTTCCAGAGACCTTTTCCAACCAGAAGTTCTGTGATTCTGAGTTAGCGAATCAGTGGGACTGCTTGCTCCACTTTTTGTTGATATTGGATAAATATGTTGATACATACCCAAAATGGTAGCATCTTTTACTGCTCTCGTTCTTTTCTGAGTGCAGACTGGCTTACGTGCACAGGCAGGCCCTGGTTCCCTCTGACACTCCTTCCTCTCTGCACTTTGATGGCAGTAACGCACTGAAGCGAAGCTACCAAATACTAAATTTGTAGAACTGTTTCACTTGCATTTAGAATTCTTACCAGGCTGTCTGGTAAGTTTAATGAATAAAGAACTGTCTATCTCTAAAAGTTCATAGGATAGGATAAAAGTGTTAGCCACAGGTATAGGTAGAAAGTATAGACATGCCCATGTGTAAAGGCACTAGAGCTAATAGATTTTGGGACGTACATCCTGGTTTCACAGCAAAACCATCACCACTGTTACAGTACAGTGAAGCCCACAATAATGAAAAGAGCCCTTTAACAGTCAGGCAGCACCTTGTATCTTTTCCTTGACACAGTCATGTCTCAGCTGCAATCATACATGATAACCACAGTTGCTCATATATCTACAAGGCAAAATTTTTGACAAATAGTTAAATTTAGTGTTAAGTCTGCATGGTAGTATCTCATGGTCTTCCATGATGTCAAGTTCAGAAAAACTTAAATGTTTTGACATTTAAAACTCAAAAATTAAGGCACATGTTAACAAACTATTGCCTCAAAATTGTTAATAACCACAGGATGTTCCCTCTGCTGTCTGAGAGTGTGTTAAGTGGTGGAAGGGAGCAAATCAGCAGAGCTGTGATGAAGGATTTAATGAGTTTTTCCCATAAGACGTAGAAGAGAAGGCTTCTAGTGCCTTAGCTTATCTGTGACCTGGAGCATATGATGAAAAGCAAACCATGATTCATAGCCATTTTCTTAAATACCTTGCTTAGATTGCATGTACGAGTATCGAACCAGGAGGGGCTTCTACTCCCAGGGTTTTAAGCAATGAGGTGAAGCAAGACAGCGGTATGTAAGTTTTTGGTAAGGTAGAATTTCACGTGAAATCTTGTACATAAGGGCAGTAAAATTGTAAATTAAAGAAGTGTGGCTTTATCTAAATGAATTATGGATTTTATTAAACTACCATGGGTATTGATAATTGCTATTTACTATAGTGCACCTAAATGTTCTGATTTCACATAGAAAAGGTCATTAAACTCTTGATCTTCAAGGGATTATTGTGCCCTTTTCCCCTACAATTCTAGAATTTCTTCAGAAGTGTGAGTGGCTGTGGCGTTGGTGCACTAGGTTGTCTGGGACAGAGAGGTGATGGAGGAAAGTACTTAAATCCTTTATTTCTTTTAAGTTGTGCTGAGGTCTGTTTGTGGGAGGCCAGAAGATCTTTCTAACTGATACACTATATGTGTAAATGGAAATCTTAATTTTTGGATAGTATTTTTCATAATACTTACAGTCTTCTTAGAAGGTAATAGATGTTAACAAAAGCAAAACAAGTTAAAAAAAAAAAAAGCTAGGTTTTCTTGCTAAGGACAACGATGTCCTCATTTTTGTGTAGGTGTAACAAAGTGAAGAATTAAGAATAATTTTTATTCAGTATTTTCATTAGTTTTCCATATGTTTGTCAGAAACCTGTGTTTTTTTTGATTTGCAATTCATGTTTCTAAGCTGTGTGTTGTCTTTTATTTTTTTACAGAAAGTATTTGTTGTTGTGCCATTCTGTTCCCTCTCCAGTTTTCTTGTTCTTTCTTTATCCCTTGAGGATGTCTTGGACAGTCATGGTATTAGTGTCATGTTTGCATGAAAGTTGTAGTTTGATTTGCATGCATGCATATATGAGATACAGTATTTGCATTACGGTTTCTTCATTATTTATCTGTGGCTTCCTGGGGATAGACAGTGTAGAAAATTTTTATTCTGTCTCTAAATAGATTGACAAAACCTGCACAACCTATTTTTACCAGGTACTTACAGATTTTTCTGCAAGTGGGGGGAAAAAGCACTGCTAAAGTGTTTTGTTTGGGTTGGGTTTGCCCAGATAGGGTATGAAAAACTGTAGTATTGCAACATCTGACAGTAAGAGAGGAATCGATAGGATGTGTGAAATGGTATTGGACTTTAATTTTAGAAGACTTTTTTTTACACTGCATTACAGGTACCATAAGTTTCTTGAATCAAAAAGAGATTAACCAACACCTAATGGGTAAAAGCAACATAACAAAATATGTCTTATAATTCTAGTTGTGATTAAAGAGAATATCAGCCTCACATAGCTTCAGCTGGAGTTACAGTATTGTGTGGTTTGTTATCCTTCTTTAAAAGAAGATGAAAAAAGGAAACTACTGTGACTTTTATTTTTTAATTTTATTATTCTTAGTCACTTTACAAGGACATGCATCTTAGTATATTATTTTTTAATAATCCATAACTTTTCTCATGTTGCAGTGATTCTTTGACAAACTGGTAGATTGGAAATGATATGTTAGCTTGAAAATGTGTTATATATATTTCTGCTCAACCACCTTCTTCAGATGCGAGTCTGCTTTCCAAATAGAAATTCAGGGTCCATCTGGAGAAAAAGGTTTTGTTTATGGTCTGTTGTTACTTAATTTGTATTTAGTTTTACTTCTTCTGCTTTGTTCTTCTGTTTCTTCTTTTGCATGAGATCTGGTAATAGGTTCTTTATCATGTATTGAGCATGCATGCTAGGTAGGGTTTGAAGTATCCTTACATGTCTTCCAGCTTTTAAAACAGGGGGTTTCAGATGACATTATGATGTTTGATACCAAGGTATAGTGAAAACTAATGATATCATGAAGAATAAGGCTTGTGATTCCTTTGCATTACCTAGTTGCTAAACTGAGAAATCTAAGTGTGTGTATTTGTTTGATTATTTAGATAGAGGTGCTATAAATCAAATTAATAAATAATATTGGAGATGGAGGATTAGCCTCCATGAAGACTGGGAGAGAGTCTTATTATTCTCTCCCTTCAGAGTTTGAAGGCTGTGTGGGCAGCAGCAAGGGCATCTCTGTTCGAGAGCAGTCCCAGAGCCGTGCACAAGTGTTTCTTCCTCATGGAGAAGCTGCATTGTGGGAGGCTGACCGTTAAGTAAATTAGGCTGTCTACTTGCCCTTTCTTTATTAGTGTTAAAGTGAAGTCTGCATTAGTGAAGTGTAGCAGCTTGACAGCTCTAGAGACTGACCCTCTCAATTGACAGAACCGGCTCCAGGTTAATGATGGAATTGTTTCATTTGCTAAACTTTGTCGTATCACTCTTTTCTTTGGATATGAGGATGCCATGGCAGTAAAACCCATTAGAAATAACACCTGTCCAGTAGGAAGTAGACTGAGACAACCAAATAATTTCACATCTTACTGAACAATCTTTTAATAATTACAGCGGTGAGCATTGGACTGAACTGTATTTATACAGGAAACCTAAAGGCAAAGAGCTTCCTGCTTTATTTCATTGCTCTTAATTTTCCCACCTTTTGGAAGTAATATATATACTTTTTTTTTTTTTTCCCACACAAAGCATATATTATTATAATCTTATAATAATAAACTCTAAAAAGGCTATTAATAAGAACCAGAGAAGACAATTAGTCAAGATAAGTGAAGTAAGAGCAATGTGAATGATATTTTTTGTTTTTCTCAAGTTCTATAAAAGCAGAATGATTGCCGTTGCTAGTCATACAGGGATTGACTTCCGTCACCTTTTAGATTTAAAATCAACATAGTAGAGAGTTCCTACAATGTTTTTATCGCCTTATACAATGTTTTATATTGCCTTATTGCCAGTAATTTTTCCTAATGATTGCATCTTTCAGGAATATGTAGATCTTAATTATCTCCTGAATGCCTTTTCCAGATAAGGCTGAAATATTTACCAAAGAAGTTTTTGTTACTTCAGATATGAATTTTCAAAGAATTTTAATTAATAGGGTTTCTTTTGACGGCAGCATTTTGATCAATAGGTTTAAATAAAAACCAAAAGCCTATTTCTGTATTTACTGATTAAGTGTTAAAAGTCTTATTTCTATGTGTACTGATATGTACATTGAAGAGGAAAGAGTA